CGGTTGGATCCCGAGCCTGCGGGAGCGGCTTCGCGGCAGCCGGGTCGGCTCCCGGGGCCGGAGCGGGGAGCGGGGGCCGCGGTGTCCCTGGCTGGCGACCGGGCTGCGCCGTAACAGGGCCCGGTGTGACTGCCGCCCGGGGAGGAAGGATCCTCCCGGCAGCTGGGCTTGGGGCAAGGACAAGGGTAAGGGAGGAGAGGCCCCGTCTTTTCCATTGCTGCCTCAAAGGAGGCATGGTGAATAACGCAGATCAAGAGGAAGAAGCAACAACCCCACAATCCCAAAATATCTTTTAAGTCTAGGGCTGGATTTAACTCCTGCATCTTTTTATGATTGAAAAATTGCTATCTCATGGGTACCCAGAGGCCTCCATGACTGATACATCCTTTTATTTCTGTCGTTTTCTGCGGTTTTGTTTCCTAAGAGCCAAAGAAGCTCTTCCTGCAAGGGGCTGCCTGACTTACCTACCTCTAACCGCGCTCTCCTCAGCACTGCGCACACTGCAGCAGTAACACGCAAAGCCACGTGTGCAGGGTGAATCACCAGCATCCTTATTGTGGAAGTGTCTGTGGCTGATCCCGTGCTTAACGCTCCAGGAAGCTTCCAAACCTGAGAGGAGTGATTTAATTCCTTAGCGTGGCGCTGAAAGCAAGAGCGCACTTGAGGCCGCCAACACCCCTGCACTGAACTCTTAACTCTTCCACAGCCCATTAAGGCAATGAGGCTTTCCCTGTTGTGCAATGGGCTGTGGATTAGATCCTGCCTTGGGGCTAGTTTCAACACTGGCCTCTCTTTTCCCGGTTTCTTAACTGGCTGGATATCCCTGCAGGCTGAGCGCTATCCATTAGGAAACGCCAGGCATAGAAACCAAGGTGGAAATGAGCCCAGCTGAGTGCAGACCCCCTCAGCCCTGATCCAAAGCGGTGCACAAATGTGTGCTTAGCCTCAGGCGAGTGCTAGCGCCCTGATCTTTAATTGCCACGAGGCCTGGCGCCGCTCTGCTCCTGACTGCATCAGGCGCCCAGAGCGCAGCTGGCGGCAGGATGATGTCTCCGGAGGGGGGTAATTGTGGGCGTTTGCCCCTCGGCTGCTTTATTCAGGGGGGTAATTGTGGGCGTTTGCCCCTCGGCTGCTTTATTCAGGACACGCGAAATCGCAGCCAGTGAATCGAACCTCTGTGCGAAGGCAGCCCCGGCGCCGTCTCACCGCAGCCTTCCACGCGGCAGCGGGCTGGCCCGAGCGTTTCTGCAGAAACGCCTCCCGAGCCCCAAAATTCCTTCCGATCAAAGATTCCTTCTCAGCTGAGAGTAGATGAGTCTTCCCTGTTTTCACTTGGGATCTTGCAGCTGTAAAATAAATACGTTTTTACAATCTGCATAGCAAATATGCTCACGATTGCTCCCTCTCTCTCTTTGAAAAGTTGTTGCATATTGAGGCAAATCAGGGACCTTCCTTTCTGTCCTCACTCAGGGTATTTAAGATTAATTTGCCGTACAAAAATATTCCCTGGTAATTCCTTGTCTCAAGATGTTTATATGAAAATGGTTGTCCATCCCTATCTATACAGAATTCAAATCTGGGAAAATAACATCATTTTCAGAAAAAAAAAGTTAAAATAAAATAAAATTCATCCTGTCCGCAAATATCCTGAAGCCTATAAATTTCCCACTTTGGATGGCATAAGCAGAGCTGAACGTATACTGGCAATTATTTTTCAATAGCTAAAGAAATATTTTTGTTGCTAATAATTTTTAAAAGATACTTCATAAATATATAAAAATAGAGAATACTTTCTAAAAAAACAAGCATCGCATGACAGCTGTTTAATACTTTTAATTGTATCACTCAGCCAATGTGAAAGGTGTAGTTCAAACATTTACACAGAAAAATTAGAAAGCAGTTGCCTTAATTATAACCATTTGGATTAAAAATTACAATCTCACTGTCAAAACAGTTGATAAAACTAGAGATTTGAAGAGAAATTTGCTAAATATTTGTTATTTTTGGCCTAGGGTGGATTATTAGAACCACTGCTCTAAACAAATCAAATGTCATCAAACAAATTTATTGTTGTTAAATGCTCAAGTGAATGAACTGGGGTTGTTTAGTCTGGATGGGATAGGATTGTGGGGGAGAAGACATGATAAGAGCCTTTAAATATCTAAAACGCAGCTGTAAAGAGGCAGGGATAATCAGTTTTCAGTGTGCAGGGTGGATAGGTAAAGCAAGCGAGATGGGCTGGACACGAGGAAGGGCTTCTTCCCATTTAGGGTAGCTAACCAGCGAACAAATTGGCCTGGGAAGAGCCTGGAGTCTCCATCAGCAGATGTTTTTTAGGGCAAACATCTGCCGGGCAAGGCAGAGGCAGGGTCAGCGCAGCCCGCGACGCCGGGACACGGTTTTCAGCGGGTTTGGTTGTGCGGATCCCCGGAGCTCCTCGGAGAGCCCAGGCTGTTGCACCCCGCTGATGCCCTTGCTGGGCTCTGCCGTCCTGGGAGCCCGTTCGAGGCACCCACGTGCCCGTGTGGATTTGCAGGCTCCCACCTGGGAGCCGCATGGGGCTGTCTTGCAACACGTGTCCCAGCCCTGCTCCTCATGCCTTTGCACCTCCGCTCGGAGGCCTTGGCCACAAATATGTGCTACAGTTTGGAAGGCTTTAAGGTGAAACATTGCTTCTTTCCGGCAATAAAGTTCACAAAATGTTGATGCTTTCACGCTGCAGCAAGAAGATTTAAAACCCAGTGTGTTTACGGGTGTCCTTTAGGGAAGAACTTTTATATGTTGAGACTGGATTTGGAGGAGGTTTTCCAAGGAGTGCTGAGCTGCAGAGTACTTGGCTCCTACTGAGACTTTAGAAACAACTTCTTGTGACCTTAGAAAATCACCCTTGTAAATTGGTAGCTCCCTTTCAAAATGTTCAAGCTGTGGTTCAGTACCTTCTCTGCGAGTGCTTTATTTAGTTTTAAAGCAGTGTAATGACTGCACACCTAGCTGGTGCACACAAGGCCCAAGAGGGCCACAAGATCTCATGAAGATTCCCAAAAGTGAGTGTCTAGAGCCTCAAAATCTGCCCTTCAGGCTCTAAATAAGCAACCTGCTGGCCAAAGATGCTTAGCAGCAGCTAGTTTCTGCACTGAGGTGTCCGGGGTAGTTACACGGAGATGGATCTGTGCTAGATGTGAACACTGATTTCACAACAGGTCTCAACAGCTAGCAGCAAATTAATGGTTTAATAAAGAAAGCTCTGACTAAAAGAACGGCAGCCAAAATCAGGCTCTTTACCGCTACAGCAGCAAAGCGAAAACAAGGTTGAGGGGTTGTCCTGAGGGCTTGAGGACTTGAGTTGAAGAGGAAGAGCTTTTAATACAACAAGATAAATGCTTTGCACTTCGGTGCTTGAGCTTGACCAGTGACAAAATATTTTGTTGTGCTTTGAGACTATTTAATCTTAAAAAGAGCCAAAAACAAACAAACAAACAAAAAACAAAACAAAAAACCCACCACATTTCTTCTTCCAATTTTAGGCCCGTTGGAAAAGGAAAAATCCTGTTTCACACTAAATGATCTTCATGAAGGCAGACTGCTTCAGCCTCAAAATGCTGAAGTGAAACATTTTGATATCTGAGGAATGAAAGAAGAACTTGGCTTTTCTATTCAACTACCACATCTCGTCTTTGTGAATCATTCTGGTTGCCTTTGGGCTTTTTTTTTTTTTCCTCTGCATATTCCTGTACATTTAAATTTTCTTTGAAATCCTACCTGAATTTCAAGGAACTTGTGGAGTCCTTAGGACCAGTCACCCTGAAACACACACACAGCAAAACCGTCAAGGGGCCGTCCGCGCGGTCGTTTAACCTGTGCACCACAAAAATTCAGATGCCATCTTCGCTCCTGCAAAATATTAAGACAGGCATGTAAGATGTGGCCGAGTGATTAAGCGTGAGCAGCTCGTAATGGTTTCCAGATTCCCCTCGTAGCAGGAGGAAAAGCTCCACAATGCCTGTCCAAGGGCTCGCCGGCGGGGAAGCTGAAGATGAACCGAGGAGGATGAGCAGATATCCCGAATTCCCCAGCTGAGCACAAGCTGGCATCACATTGTAGTCCAACATGGCCTGAAAGATTTCAGAAAAGCAGGATTATTTCACCAGCAGACTGTGTCTGCATCATCCCTGTGGCAACACCTGTGTGCCCGCGACTGGGAAGCCCTTAAGAACACGTGGTGAGACTTGGGCTGCATTTTTTCCTCTGGCTTGGGAGCGTTAAATGAAGATTGACTGTTGGAGCCGGCCTCATCTGAAGGAATCTGGCAGTGCCCGAGCTCGCAGAGGGGACTTTTATCCTCCGGGTTTTGCCCAGAGCCCCCAGGACTGCAGACGTGGTGCGCCAGGCGCAGCACAGCCCTGCCAGCCTCCGGAGACTCGCTTCGCATCCCAAACTACTCCCTTCCTGCAAGACTACCAATATATTTTTCTCCGCAGGTTCTTTACCCATGAAAAAGCGATCTTCCAAAACTTGCTTGGGGCTTCGAAATCCTTAGAGGCCCCAGCCCACGCTTGAAAGCCGAACGGAGGGCCCGCCGTTGCCTTTGAAGCCAGCGGGGCTCTGCTCTGGCAGGTTAGATCTCAGGGGCTGTGTTGCTCCCAGGATTTAAACCAGACCACATGTGAAATGGCAGCTCCCTCTTATTATTATTATTATTTTTTAATAGGATAATTTGGGGGTTCTGTTTTATTATTATTATTACAATTTTAACGGCAAATTCAATGAGCTGCTTTCCCTCCTTAATGAAAGAAACCAGGGGCTGGTGCTCAACTTCTTTGCATTTTAGCAAGAGTTAATGGCCTCTACAAATCTTTTGTACCCCTCTTTCCCCTTCCCCTTCATCTCAAGCTTTCCTCCAAGGTCATGTTTATTTTCGAGGTGGATGGTCAGGACCAGGACCTGCGGGACGCAGCGCGTGGTGGCTCTGGAGGGTTGTCCCCTCTGCAGCTCCGTGTTTGCAGCCAGCGAGGCCTCCTGCTGTGGGCTCCTTCCAAACCCACCGCCCCTGTTCCTGCCACAGGGAGAGGAGCAGGGGAGGCCTCCGGGCGTCTCTGCGCTCGCTGCCTCATCTCAGCTCAACCCCAGGCTGGAGCTGGAGCTCTTCCCTCTCATCCCAGGATGTTGCCTGGCTCTGTCACCCGCCGTACAGCGGCTGGTGCCACCATCCCCTCTCGGGTGAAGCCCTGCCAGAAGGGTGGTTTTTTCCAGGGTGGAAATCTTGGCCAGCTGCTTGAGGAGACTGTCTCAGAGCAGGCTGAGAGGTTCACCACCCTCCCTGGGAATGTGCAAGCTCTGGGCTTCATCCAGATGCGATTTTATTTATTTTTTTATTTTTAAATTTGAGCAAAAGCACTTCGGTCTTTACAACGTGAGAGACGAGTGAAAAAATACATTTCTGCCATTACAGGGAAGGAAAAAAAAAGAGAAAAGCAAAGGCCTTCGGGCTCGCTTTGAAGAGCTCTAGCACTGACCCCAGTGACATCCTCCCGTTTAGCTTAGGTATGAGGAGCTCTTCCAGCAGAAAGCGCAGAGAGCGGCCCCGATGTCCCTGGCCATCGGAGCCATCTCGAGGGTGCCGGTGAAAACCGGCTTTATGGGGAGCCCACCCAGAGCAGCTCCGGGAAGGGGGATGGAGGGCGGCGCGGCCCTGCCGAGGCGCCTGCTAATTTGGAAGCCATCAGCATTTAAAAATACTTGCAGGGATCGGAGCAAGGACGCAGGGAGAAGAACAAAAAAAAAAAGAGAGAGAGAAAAAAGCATTTTCAGAGGCCCGTTCCTCGGCGCGCTTTTGCGCGTGCCAAAGTTTGCTGGCATGGCTCTGTGTTTGATAGGGAACATCTGGGCTGCTGTTGCTGCCTGCGCAGGGGCCGCGGGCAGCCAAACAAAAGGGGCTTGTGCAGGAGCGCGCGGGAGGGCCGCGGGGGCGCCCGCGGTGGCATCGCCAGGAGGTGGCACTGAGGGACGCAGCAGAGCGGGTTCCCGCTCATGCAGGCTGGTCCATTCAGACTTCCAGGCCAGGTAGAGCCAGGGGCTCTGGGGGTCCCTGCGCGGGCAGGAGAGCCGTTGCCGCCTACACGGTCCATCCCTGGGGCCGTCTCCCTAAGGAATCGCTGCTGCCTGCTGATGGACACACGACGTCTTTGATCTAACCTCCTGCAACATGTCTGACCTTCCTCCCCTTGCCAACTCCTCCTTCCTCCTCCTCCTCACGCCCTCGGTATTTTTTAATGCAGCGTTTGCTGTGTTAACAAGTCTCCAGAATCCATTACTCTGACTCATGCCCCTGGGGACAAGGAGCCTGATGTCATTCGCTGTGTGCTGATCCAGCCGTTTTCCATAGCTATCAGGGACACGTGCCCCAGAGTGGATGCGGGGGGGCGCTTGGGCAAGTGTCCCACTTGACCGTCCCTCATCTGGCTCTAGGGAGATACCTCTGTTTTGACCACGCAGCCCTCTGGGAGCCAAAGCCTGAAGGAAAAGAGGGCAGCGGAGCCCCTTGGGTCTCGCAGCCGCCGCGCGTGCTCCGGCGGCCCCGCGCTGGCGCTCGGCGCTGTGCTACGCGCTGCCGCGTGGAGGTGACGCATTCGACGCTGCTCACGGCCTCCTGCGCGGGCTCTGGCCCTGTGCTCGCCCCGCGGACGCCACCTCCGCGTTTGGGCACGTTTGCAGATAAGCTTCCTCCGGGGATGTTTTCCTTTCGATTACATCAGTGTCAGGACACGGGCTTTCGACGGTGCCGAGCGATCTCCTGCTCGGCCAAAGAAAGCACCCGGCTGCCCAGGGTTTGTGCAGAGAAAGCCGGAGCCCCAGGAAGGGCATCGGCCCCTCCGCACCTTCCCCAGCACGGCTGGAGGGAGGGAAGGCAGCTGGGGACGTGCTGCAAAGCCGCGTCCTGCCCCGTCCTGCTCCGTCGCCTTTCCTGGGGTGGGTTGGGAGGAACTAAATAAAAGCAAGCTGCACTTTGGAAGTGCCTTTGCAGCAGGAACGTAAAACCATCTCTAAGCACCCGGCACCTCGCTGGGCAGTCAGTGCCCTGTCTTAGGGCAAGAGAAAGAGCGATGTCTGAGGAACCGCTCGCTGTGTGTTAATGGTGCTACATGTCCCCTTGCTCCACTTCCCAGCACAAGGTAGTTAAGAGGGGCCGTTTTCCTCCTATTTTATCATTCATGAACGTTGCCAAAGCTTCTTTCCCTCCCTCTGAGCAAGAGCCAAACCTCTCTGCCGTCTGTCTGTGCCTCTAGTTGTTCCCCTTAGCCTCCTCCAGACACTTTTTTCTATTGGATCTGTCCGAAACACAGAGGCAGAGGCTGGAGCGGGGATGCTGCAGAGCCATTGAGCCCCACTAGTGCTTTAGAGCCTGTTTCCTCTCTCAGCCAATGCTGCTGATGGAAAAGAACCAGCTCTGCCACTGGAGAGCCGTTTGCCTTCTCAAAAGCCATTTAAGAGCCTGAGTCCCATTCCCCGGTGCAGTTAAAGGCCCACGGGGAGTCAGGCTGTTAACGACGTCCGCTGCTT